TTTTTTTTGGACAATCACAACCCTATACACGGTTATGACTGTCCATGGATGGAAGCTTGCACTGATCCACACTTTGCTAGTTTTATTTTCCTGAAGTTGTGGAGGCAACTGCAGTTGTCAAATCTGCAAAATTTTGCTCACTGCTTCCTAATTATTCTATATCCAGGTCCATTAGCACAATTCATGCATATACACTAGTGAGTTTAGTAATTTTCCTTTTATAGCCTTGATGTATTATTCTGAATATAGGTGAACTGCCTCAAATGGGTTATTACTGCTTCACCTTCTTGCAGGTTGTCGTGGTTTAACCCCAGCCAGCAACTAAGCACCATACAGCCACTCACTCACTCCTCTCCAGTAGGGGAGAATTAGAAGAGCAAAAGTGAGAAAACTCAAGAGTTGAGATAAAGACAGTTTAATAGCTAAAACAAAAGCTGCTTGCACAAGGAAAGCAGAACAAGGAAGGAATTCACTCACTACGTCCCATGGGCAGGCAGGTGTTCAGCCACCTCAGTAGAGCAGGGCTCCATCATGCATCACGGCTACTTGGGAAGACAAACGTCATCACTCCCAGTGTACCCCCTTCCTTATTCTTCACCAAGTTTTTATTTCTGAGCATGACACCATATGGTACAGAATATCCTTTGTGCCAGTTGGGGTCAGCTGTCTTGGCTGTGTCCCCTCCCAGCCTCCTGTGCACCCCCAGGCTACTCGCTGGTGGTGTGGCGTGAGAGGCAGAAATGGCCTTGACTCTGTGTAAGCACTGCTCGCAGTAACTAAAACATCCCTGAATTATCAAAACTGTTTTCAGCCCAAATCCCAAACAGAGCCCCTTACCAGCTGCTCTGAAGAAAATTAACTCTATCCCAGCCAAACCCAGCACAAGGTGTAAAAAAATCAGTTCCATCATAACTTTGTTGTTGCCATCTTCTATTACAAAACAACTGCAAAGACCTCCTGGGTCATTCAAGATAGTCTCATGCCACTGAGAGCAACCATACCATACAATGCTTTTTCTTAAAATATTAAGCCTTATTTAAAGATCACCTAAACCTCATCTAAAGATCTGAGGTTGATTTTGCTGATTTTCACCTATACTATTGCTACTAGAAGAGTGCTCTTGAAACGCATTCCTTTGGTAGTTATAAATTTTCCTCTTATTTCCAGTTCGGGTCAGGTAACTGACAGTTCCTGTATCAACACAGCCTGCATTGCTAAAATGGATCTTAAAAATCTCCTGAACTTATCTCCTTGCACTTTTAGAGAAAAATCATAGACTTCAACAGTTATTTGATTGAGCCTATCACCTTTAACTAACAATCCTTTAACTTCATGTCATAGGTAAATTTTCCATTTCTATTTTCCTAATCAGTTCAGTTACCTTTTTCTAGACATGTTCTGGTTTTAATTAATCTTTCCTGAATATATATGAGTGGAAGTATATGCAGTATTTTAGAGGAAATAGGTGTTTCGAATGTCTCTTATACTGGCAGACATACTCCTGTACTTCTGCTGGAAATAGCTTAGGCCTAAGAAACATACACGTCCTATTGAAGGTCACTGTATTTTGCAGGTTCAGATCACAATTTTTCCTACAGCTTACCAGTGTAAGTCAGCACCTGGAAAAGCAGAGCTGACTTTCACTGACCTCTGCCTTTCATTCCTGTTCTGTGTACCCTTCCCTTTTGCCAGCACTACCATACAATTCGCTTTGTATAGCAAAGCAGATTGAAAAATTTATTCCATTTTTCCTTTGGCTGATTTTCCCACCTTACAATTCCTGCCCTAACCCCCATTTTTTCAACATAAGTAATCCTTTTTCACTTGGCACCACACAAACACTTCACTGACACCCTCACAGATAACCTCCGCTGCATTTTGTCCTCAAAATCTGCAACCACAATGTGTACCTGATAGATTGGTAAGAAACCTTCAGCATCCATGGCCAAATTCAAGTGGAAAGACACTGCTTAAAGTGACTTTCACTCATTGGGATGAGGTGAAACAAGCCCTGAAAAACAGTTAAGCTAACCAGTGGTCCCATGTTGGCGAGCACAACCTGTTAATGAGAAATGAGCTACTGTGTGAAGTGGGAGGAATATGGTTAGATGGCACAAAAGGATTGTGATGTTGGCCCTGCACCAAATGAGTAGGATGTCTCAAGGAAAAGGAAGAGGAAACAGAGTCAAGATGGTAGAGAAAGAGAATGAGGGGAAGACATTAAAAAAAGAAGAAAACAAAAGACAATGGGAAATGGAGCAATGGCAGGAGGAAGAGGAAGAAAAGAGAATGCATGAAGACTAACCTTCAGTCAACTGCGACATTTCCACCACAGCAATACACATCCCAAAGCAACACACTGAAAGGGTTCCTTTCCCACCCCATTAACAGCTGTACAGGGGTTAAAATGGTGCCCTGTGTCTGGACTTGTCTTTTGAACAGGTATCATGCTTGAAGTGCAGATCCAATGAAAACTAGCATGACATTAGTTGTAAGTTCTCCCATTCCCAGTATTAATAACATTTGTGGATATTATTTACTTTTAAAAATATGCTTATAATATATAATTTTAATGGCACCCCACATAGCACATAATGGGACACTGCAAATTGGTTATATAATAACTAAGTGGAAGAAAGAACAGTATAAACAGTGGTTTGCAGCCTTGACCTTATGGTGTTTCCTGCCACAGTGAAAGTAAAAACATGCTCCCCAAGAACCATCAAGCAGTTTGTCACTCCTGTTAGACATTTGGATGCCTTAGGGCTTGTCTACATGCAAGGCTACATTGGTTTAGCTAGGTTGAATATGCTGCAAAGGGCTGTGTAAAATCTTCATTTGACTTAAATCAGACTTACTTCAGTTTCACTCAACAAATTAAATGTCCGATAAAGCCTGAATAACTGTTGATTAGGACAATTGTGGTTCTAATCAATTGCTTATAATTGTAGTGCTGCCTGAGCTGACAAAATCTTCTTTTCTAGTAGCTTATCTTGATGAAGTTTTTCCGGACTCCTCAGACTGTTTTAATCAACTTAAATTGTGCCTGAAGGCTCCTTAGGATCTGGTGTCACATGAGTTAATGTAACCGAATCTTCTCTGCTGCTGAAAGCAGAATATATACATATAGAAAATACTAAGCTCAGCAGAACAAATATTAAGTTCAGTGGGAAAGTGCTGGTTATTCTAAAATTTAGTATTTTTCTTATATATTGCACCCAAACACAGGCACTTCTCAGCTTACAGATATGACGGCAAAAGTGGCAGTCTTCATCCTGTGTGGGCACATGGCATTCCAAACTAAACAAGTGCATCATACATATGCTGAGAGAAACACCCAGGGTTTCTTTACTTCAAAGCCTACAAGAACAATTTTGCCTCAGTCTTCCTGGGTGAAGTGCTTGGTAAGAATACTTAAGACTGTTGCATGAACACTTATCTGCTTAGGGAAATGCCATGGAAATGAAGAATTAAATGAATGGAAAACCAGCCATCATTATTCCACAGAAGAATGTCCACAGAAGGAGTCATACCAGTATAGTAATAGTAAGACAATTATAACACTTTAATAACATCAGCACATTTCCTGAGCCTTGTTATGGAGAACCAGAACTTGCTTTAGCTTTAGAATGGCTTGTCAGCATCCTCCTTACCAAGGAAACACTTCACCTGCTTCCTCTACAGAGGAAAAGGCAACAACAGAGGAATAATTTTGCTATTTTCTGTAACTGGTTTTGGGCTAAGGCAAGTCAAGCAAACCTAGGTGAATTTCATCTAATTGTTCCAACATCATCAGGAACTATCTGTCAGAGAAAGCAAATAATATATTAATTACTATTTCTACTTTTGTTGGGTAGAAAGGCTCAGCTACGTCACCCCACCTCCCAAAACCCCCCTTATGCTAAGAGTATCATAACCATATTGCCAGCACAAACATCACGCGTTTAGACTGACAGGGTGCTGTTACAGCTTAACAATATACACCACACACTGAATACATGAAGCAAAAACTTACTTCCAAATGATAGAAACCTTCATTTTTGGTTTAGCTATCATTTGGGAAAGGCTAACTTCTATTTCACAAGGCAATAAAAAAAACAAACAAAAAAAACAACACTTAAGTGTTAAAATTTTATGAGGGCATATTCCTTTTTATCTTCCAAAGACAACTTGTCTTTATGTTCATTGTTAACAGGATTTGATACAGAAAAGCTTGAAACATACAGATATTTTGGGGCCTATCAACCTCTGTTAACTTTTCCACTGAGGTGAACTGCGACCCAGTTTATTTCAACTCAGAAGGTGAACAGGAAAGAGCTGCGCTTTTCCCAAGAGCAGCTATGCCACTTTGAACCTCTTTCCCCGCCACCCTCCTTAAGCAAGAAAGCCCTTTACACAACCGCGAGGAAACCGGCTGGTTAGACAAACATAACTCTCGACACCACGAACTCTTCTCTGGCATGACCTTAGCTGTCACCTCCACCTACTTCGTATTTCTGACTCCTGCCTGCTTCCCGCACCGCCCTCCCTCAGCACGGAGGCCACTAAACGCACTTTGCCCTTATTTCACAGCCAGCCAGTCACCCGGCGTGCACACAGCCGCCGGAGACCAGCTCGGCACTGCGGTGACAGCAGACCCCACGCCACAGGGCCTAGCACAGGCGGCAGAGTTTCGTTAGCCCCCTTTGTGTATCTGGGACCGGACGCTAACCCTCCCGCACTTCCCCAGGGCCGCGCCAGTCGCTCCGAAGACTGAACCCTGACCCCCCATCGCCCACAGCCATCATCCCGTCCTTTAACCCACACCCCAGCCTCCGAAGGGGGATTTAAATCAGACCCCGGAAGCCGGGGCGGCCGACGCAGAGCACACCGGGATTTGCAGTCCCCACGCCCCATCCCCACCCTCAGGCTTTGAGGGCGAAGCCGGGGCGGAGAAACGACAACTCCCGTGAGCCTCCGCGGCCGCCACCGCCCCAGGAGCGCAGGCGCAGTGGGGAGAGCTGCTTTTTGAATCCGCGGCGTTGTTATTGACGCCATATTGCTGGTGTGGGAGTCAGGGAGTGAAGTGCTGCTGCCGCCGGGGCCTCATCGCCATCGCTCGTCATCGGCGGCCCCGGACCGGGTAACAGGACCCGGGCCCGCGCCCCTCGGCCAAGCTTCTAGCCCGCTACCAGCTGCGGGCGGAATTAGCCCGGCTAGGGCAGGGCGGGCGGCGAGAGCGGAGATCCAGCCGGCCGAGCCGGAGCTGCTGGCGGGGCCGGGACCGCTCCCCAGAGAGAGGCCGACAGGGAGGCGGTGGAGGCCCTGACGCAGCTGCCCCCTCCTTTCCCTGCCGCCCTCCTTTCCCTCCCCCCCTGCCCGCCCCAGACAGCGGGGAAGGCGCGTCTGGGCAGGGCCGGCTGCTGCCACCACCACCACAGCCGCCGTCGTCTCCCTTGCCTCTCGCTCTGAGCCCCCTTCCTCCGCCCCGCCGCCGCCCTGCGCCATGGCTTGCGGCGCCACTTTGAAAAGGACTCTGGATTTCGACCCGCTGCTGAGCCCGACGTCCCCGAAGCGGAGGCGATGTGCGCCATTGTCAGCCCCGGCCTCGGCCGCTGCCTCCTCCTTCGCCGCCGCCTCCCCGCAGAAATACCTGCGCATGGAGCCCTCGCCCTTCGGAGAGGTGTCGTCCCGGCTCACCACAGGTGAGGGACGCAGCCCCGCTGTACCCGGCAGCCACCCGGAGCGGCGGGTGGTGGTGGGCTGAGGGTGAGGGAGCGGCGGGGAGGGGGACGGTGGGTGTGCAGGGCAGGGGGCCGGGAAGGCGACCCATATGGGGGGGAGGTGGAAGAAGAAGAAAAGGGTAAGGTTGGGTGGGTCTCGCGTTCTTCTCCAGCCGTTTTTTGTCGGGCTACACGTCTGGCAGCGGCGGGGCCGGGGCAATCCCCGGTCGGCTTGGCACCGCCGCGACGGAGACACAATAGAAATGGCCGTTTGCAGCAGGAGAGGGGGAGGAGGGACTTGGAGGAAGGAGGGGGGGCGGGTTGAGCCGATGCGGGCGGGTGGCCATAGGAAAGGGGTCGGGGTGGGGGTGGGGGGAAGACTGGAGAAAGGGACCTGAGCAAAAGAAGGGGGGAACGTTGGTGGCGGAGTCTTAATCAAGTGCCGGGATAGTGGGGACCGGCTTTTCTCGCGTCGGGGACGGGAACGGAGGATTTTTTTCCTCTTTATCACGGGTGCTTGGATGTGGCAAGGAGAGCCGCAGGGGCGAGTCAGGCTGCGGAAACGCTGGGGGTGGCGGGGGCAGGAGATGACCGTGGTGTCGGCGGGGCTGGGGCTCGCTTCCAGGAGGCCCCCGAACCCCTCTCAATGAGGCCCCTATCGATCCGTTGAAGCCATTATCGGTGGGTCGAACGTTGCCCGAGCCGAGGCGGCGGCACCTCCTCCCGTTGCTCAGACATCGGGGGGGTGAGGGAGGAGGGAAGCGGGGGGAGGGCGGGGAACGCGGCCTGTCATCAATCACCCGCAAAACGCCAGTCGGAAAAGGCAAAAGCTGATAAAACAAAGGGGTAATTCCGCTTCCAGTCCGTTAATGCGTGCCACCGTCCCGGATCACCCATTCTGTGGCATCCTTAAAGTTTGGTAGGAAAACCGAGAGATGAAAGCGATTGTGTGCAAGGGTGAGAGTTGCCTTCGGGGCAGATAAAATGGAATTGGGCAGTCTCCTCGTCCCGGAGACGTCGGGCGAGAGCAAGATCTTTTTACATTCTTAACGTGTGAGAGATGAGTCAACCGGTGCCCCTAAAAGCTCTGGGTCTGCTTGTGTAAGTGTTGTCAAGCAAAGAATCATCCTAGTTTGTTTTACCAGCGAGCAGGGAGAGAAGAAAGGAATGAGTCTTGGCCGGGCACGCAGGATTGATTGGCCCTTCCTTACGGTTAGTCTAGTGGGTAGCTTCCAATAATGCACTTAAGAACGGCTAAGCCCGCAGCCATATGAGTGGCTGTGGCGCTGAGGTATGGATCTGTGTCCTTTGTGTGCAGGAAGAAAAGCCCTCTGCAGTTGCAGCTGAATTCCTCCTCTTGCTGCTGCTGCATTCGGTACTCCCTTTAAACAAAAGTTAGCTCCGGATTACTGCTGTTTATTACTGAGCATTAAGTTTGAATATGTTTTCAAATTACCACCCTCTCTATGTAGGACAGTGCCTTGTTTTTATATTCTCGATTCTGAAAACTGTACAGTAGAATATATTTTTTCCAGGTTTTGATCAAATAATTAAATTGCTATGGAGGAAACACACAGAGGGCATACAGACTACTTAAACTTGGCATCAGTGCCTCGGTATTTTTTTGAACCTCTAGGAAAAGATCTTGAATGAGTCAGCGATCTGGGATGGGAGCTGTGATGGATGGCACTCCCTGGTACAGTAAGGGAGCATTACATGTACTTTGAGATAGATGCTTAAAATGACAATTGATTTGATTCTTTTTAGAAGGTAAGTATGACTTCATTGCAAGGTTTACTTTTGGCTTGTTTCCTTGGGATTTGGAGAGCTTAGGTTTTGAATATTTAATATAAATGTTGTCTGGCCAGTAAATGTGTATTGCTGAAAGGAGGTAATAAAATTTTCAGTAGAGATAACCAACAGCAGTATTTGAGGCAATACCTAAACTTCTGCGTTAATGATTCTAAAGGCCTTGTAACTGAAAATGTTACCAAAGTTAAGCAAATACAGGCTTCATCTTACCTTGACAAAATCTGAGGTGCAGGTGGTAATTCATGTGAGAGGGTGATTCTCTACTGACAAGGGTGTATTTCATGTAAGCCATTTGTATAATACAATGAAAAGTGAAGGACAGTAAATCATAAAGTCTTTTACGGCCCTTGACTGCTCCTGAGCAAAGCTTGAAACATTTAAAAATTGCTTGCATTTGTATGTTCTGCTTAAAAGCTCCCTCTGTGGGGTCTGTTACAAGGAGAAATACCTTTGTATGGTGGGAGTGCAAATGTGACTATTAAGCAGCTTGCTTAGGTTTTACTTGCAGTTGAATTCATAGGTATTACCACATTGTGTGTATTTAATTTCGACCAGCAAACAAAACAGAGCTTGTAATTTTAAAGGGGCCACTTGAAAGATTGTGTGAAATTCATCTCATCCAATTTTGTAAATGTACGTATGTCCTGATAATTTGTAGCTTTCATGATAGTACGAAGAAACAGACCATTTATTCTAGAACTCTGGCTTAGGATGAGGCAGAGTGTGCTATAGAAAAACGTGTTGCTTTCTACTGACTGCATAATGAATTTACGTGACCATTTCTGATGTAGATGTCTGCATTTGGATCAGATGAATCTTGCTCTCTGCGTGAAAGGAATGCCAGCCTCACTTCAAAAAGTGCTGCCAGCTGAGTCACTGTTTTGTGCAGTTTTTACATTGGGAAATTTAGTAACAATAGCCAGAACTCAGTTGACTTCAGTTATGGTTTTCTCAGTGTGTTACTGCAGTGGTTAGGGTTCCAGCACTTAAAAAGTGTCTGTCTGAATTTTATTTAATGAAAGTTAATGGTTATACAAAATCAGAGCTCTGGATATAAAACCTGAGGCTGCTACTTCATTTTGAGTTCTTGCTTCAGCATTTTTCTTCTGTCTGATACTCTGTCCTGGTGGTGTTTAACTGTACCCAGTGGAGACTATATCAGCACCAGAACTTTCTTACCACATGGTGAATTGTTTAGAATGATGAATTATTTGAAAGTAGAATATGGGTTGATGGAGGGTGGTGCTGCGAACTAAGATTACAGTGTGGTAGTCATATGAGAAAACAGCTGTCTTCACAGTGGTCATAGACAAATAAACGTTATGTCTGAGAGAGGGCAGGCTTATTCAAGATAAAATTTATCTTTAACGAGTATTTTAGTATTTTCTGCTTACTTGAACAGCTGTTACTTCCAGTTTTTTGGTGAATTTGGCAGCCAGACTGCAGTTGTGGCTATACCTTCTGTGGAACTGTGCTTATTGACATGAGCATGCTCGTGTGTGTGCCAGCTAATTTTTGGATACCACTGTTTGCATCTAGAATGAACATTTTTAGAACAGTGTTCACTATAAGTGGTGCAGACCATACCTGCCTGGCATAAGACAGCTTTGATTTTGAAAAAGTGGCTCTAAGAAGTTTTCTACTGCTTGAGTACTACAGTTGAGTTTTACTTTCACGTAAGTTCTATCTATAAATGAATCTGTTGTGTATTATCAGAGTAACTGCACTTCAGTTTGGATGCCTGCATGTAGTGCACTGTACATGTTCGATTTCCTCTGAAGCCCTAAGTGCAGTCCTGTTTCAAAGCTGTTAAATAAATTCTAGACTGTGAAAGGAGGAAGCAGTGGCAGTATTATTTTTCTGTTCTGCTGGATGTTTTAGAACCATTATTTGCAGCTTTACCCTGATGAAAGATTATGATGGGGTGGGAGGGGAGAAGACAGAAAGAATAATAAATTATCCTGAAGTTTTTTAAATTCAAAGGCATGTCAGCGTAGAAAACCTGGATGTCTGGGTATTCCCGAGACTGGAGCAACAGTGGGAAATACAGTCCAAAGAAATGGAAGGAGGGGGGGAGAAGGGAGATGGAATGTGGACCTTAGGATTTATATCATATTCGTGCTACATAGTAACTGAGAAGACAAACTGAGATCAGCAGCTTGCTTCCATGCTCCTTTCCTGAAATCTGGGGTTAATTTGCAGCTAGAACTTTGTAGATTCAGAATGTTACATTTAAAAACAGTTTGTGAAATTACTTAAAAATGCACAAACTTTTTCATCTGTACATGCAGTTTTTCCTCCATCTGAAATATTCATCTGCCATCCCCAGCAGCTAATTAATGTTGCAAACCAAAACTTGTACTGGGTTGAGTTATTGAGAACAGTCTTTCAACTCAGAACACTGGTTGAAATCCAAGGAGAGATAACGTCAAATGTTTGATGGAATATGGAAACTACTAAATTTATGCAGTATTGAGTTATGAGTGTGCATAAGTGCATATTTGTGCATATTTGCTGCTCAAACACAGTCACAAGGCTGTCTGGTTAAAGATGGCAAATGGAGTTGTTTCTAAGAGTCCTTCACAGGGGATTCTTTACAAACAGAAGGCAGCTAAATTTCTCTTTAATGTATACCTTGTTCTTTCACAAAATAATCTGAGGAAAAAAACCCCAAGATCTAATTAACACAAATTTTCAAAATTATTGTAAGAAAATGACATGTCTGAATAGGAAGAACTGTTATACTTCCCATCAGGCTGTCCTCCCGTGACCTTCCAGTTGCCCTGTTGAGCAAACTGACTGTTTCTGTACGAAACTTGGTCAGACAATGGCCGAGTGCAGGTTTGGCTTTAAAATGAACATATCTAGCAGCTTAGGAACGTGACATATTAGTAGTGCTGTATCTCCTTCTGCTTAATTTTTGTTTTGTTACCATTTATCTGCATGTGTATTTATTGCTAAATTACCCTGGCAAGATGCCAGGTTTCTCATTGTGCTCCAGTATTGCAGAAATCATTGGGATTAAAAAACCAAAACGTTCCCACCCCTTACAAAAAAAAAAAAAAAAAAAAAAAAAAAAAAAAAAAAAAAAGAAAAAGGCAACACATAATGTCTGCATCTGGAGTTGATAATTTAATTTATATGAGAAATTTCTATAGATGCCTGTGGTA